TAGTAACGGCCTCCCCAGCCCCATGCCCTGAATCTGTCAGGTGCCAGGTGCTGTGGAGGCCTGTGACGTCCTTGCAAATGCACCAGACTTGTTCCCATGTCCAGATTTACTTCCCCATATGAACATCTACCTGCCTTGCCTTGCCTGCCCTCGAGACCACCCCAAGACACAGTGAGTAATGTGTAGAGCAGAGAGCTCACCTCTGTGTTTTGCCAGGCACAAGGCACTACACAATCAAAGGCCAGATCGGCCCTAGAAGCGCTGCCTCCTTCCAGACAGGCACATCTCCAAGTAAGCCCAACAGCACCCTATAAGGTGGTGTCACTTTGGCCGTGACAGCAGCAAGGGGGTGTGAAAACAGAGGCTTTTGACTGGATCCTCTGACTCTATCCCTCCGCTACCTCTGTCTGCAGCACTGTCCCTTGCTCTGTCAGCTCCCAGGATGCCTCTACACGGTGGGACGATCACAGCAGTATATTAAGGAACCCCTGATCCCCGTCCCAGCTCGCAGAAGAGTGGACAAGTGTGCAGCAGGATGGTGACACGCCGGGCACCCTTTGCTGGCACAGCAACAGGCAAAATAGGAGAGTTATTGATTGGTATTTGGCTCTGGGCTCTCCCCAGCCCCCTCCAGATCCATGTGGTGTCTATCACACTTTTCTTGTCCAGACAGTCAAGCTGTGTGTGTGTTTTCATGGTCCCCTTGCAGGGGCGGGCTGCAGCCTGCCTGTGGCGCAGAGGTGGGACCCTGCTGTCCCCTGCCGGGCAGCCCCCGAACAGCCCATGGCGCTGCCTCCAGGCTGGAGCAGGCCGGGGCTGCTGGCCAGCTCCTCGGCCACACTAGGCACAGCGGGACCAAATTCAGAACCGGCTCAGATCTGTGCCAGGGACAAATTTATGAAGTTATGAAGCCCTTAATCCCTTTATAGCTGCTTTCAGCCAGGTTTGAAGACTCCAAGGAGGGCATGACTTAGTCGTTAAAGCAAAGGAAGGGGGCACACTTACAATTTCCCGTCCAGCTCTTCCATTTATTTAGTTCCAGGCTCCCTAGTGCCATGTTTTGCCCCTGCCCAGGAGGGGCAGGAGATCTGTTAAGCTCATATCAGGACGCTCAGTTCATCTAGATGGTTTGGAAATCTCTGGGCCAGCAGTGATACAAGGGAGAGCAAAACTCCCATTGACTAGGAGGAGATGTTCGCACCCAGCAGACTCACAGCTGAACTTCACTGCTGCTTCACATCAGCTGCACTCAGTTAGCATCCAGCAGTGGTCATGAGGCCCATTTCCTCTCCATGAAAGGGGTCCTGGTGGAGAGACAAGGGAGCAGTTGCAGCATCACAGCAATTGCTGTTGCCAATCGCCAGGCAGCTGTTAGCCCTTCGGTAGCCAAGGAGGGAGAACCAGGCCCTGTCACAAGCCAGTTTTCTCTGGCCATCCAAGGCCACTCAACATGGCCATTGCACCATGACCTTGATCACAGGAGAGCATCCACGGAGGCCGAGCCATAGCAAGATGTGAGGAAGGAGAGATGACGGTGGCGACTAACATTACTATGCAACCCTAACAGTGAAATAAAACCCTGTCAACCCAGATAACCCCAGATACCTCAAAACGTGAATTCTCGCTGGCAGCCAAAGTGAAAATGGCAGGCCTCTGTGCAAGGGCCTGCTTAAGAGCTTAATGTGCAGTGGAGACAACCGTTATTAAATGTCCCAGAACAGGCCGTGCTGGTGGTTGGGGTGTGCAGCATTGGTCACAGGCTATTAAATCCTGGCAAGGTCAGAAGTTCTTGATTCTCTTCTGGATGCATAAGTTCGTTCCTAAAAGCCTCACAGAAACATGCTCACGCGGCTCACAGATTCACCAAGGGCATCATCCCTTAAATTGCAAGGAGAGCTTACAGTAGACAAGGGTCTCCTCAAGGGAGGGACAGGGACCTTCTGGTAGGTAAATCCAGGAACTACTGTACTGGGGTCTTGGGTGCCACCAGTTCTTTGGAGGCAATTGGGAAAGCAGAGGAATATGGACAGCCTGAACAGAGCTGCTTGGACTGAAGTGGAAATGGTGCTGGCAAAGGACTCCAGCGGGGCTGTAGTCTGCACAGCAGTGCAATTCACCTCAGTGGCAGAGTCCAAGGCAGGGATGGCGACAGCTGAGACAGCCCTGTGCGACCTTTGCATTTCTCCAGCCCAGAAAAACATAGAAGGACAAGGAAAGGGAGGGGGAGCCAGACTGCTGCTACTCACTGCTCAGAGAGCAGAGTTCGGGCAATAGCTAAAGGAACATAGCTAACGGAGATGGAAGGTTAAATTGTTAATGTATTAATTGCCTTTCCCAAATGCTTTCTGTCTAAGCGTAACACTAACCAGTAAATTCATGCTTATTTTAAGCCCTGGGGCTTGCTGCTTGCAAGTAAGGAATCATTATTGTCAAGGGCACTTTGACAAAGTCATTTAGTTTCTGGTGAGAGCTTGGTCCAGTCTGCAGAGTAACTGAGCCAGTGCTGGCAAGCTGGACATGGGTCACGGGAGGAGGCACGAGAGCTCCCAGGCTGGGAGATGCCCTGGGCAGCTGGAGGTCCAGCAGAGTGGCCTTTCCTGAAGAGCAAGTCAATGGGGGCAGCTCTCAGGATTGCACTGCAGTGGCCACTGGTTTCTTCCAATTTTGGTTTGTGACTCTAAGCAATTCTGAGATACTATTTGTTTCTTTTGCCACAGGGATGCCACGCTGTGCCACGTGCTCTAGGTGACCCTGCTGGAGCAGGGGGGTTGGACTAGATGATCTCTAGAGGTCCCTGCCAACCCTAAGCATTCTATGATTCTGTGATTCTTTTGATCTACTTGCTTTTCAAGTAATTTTCTAGTTTTCATGTTTGTAAAGAACCATCAGAAATTCAATCTGTCAGTGTTAAAAACTAGGTAGCAAAGAGGAAGACATCTGAACTATTTGCACAATCTCATGACTTTTAAGCCATTTTTCGTGATTTCTGGAACCCGAGGGTGACTTTTTAGGCCGGCAGCAGTATGTCACAGGAGGGCAGAAGGGATCAGTAAGGTATCTTAAGGTTCAAGATGGGAAGGGAGGCAGGATGTTGATACACCAGATGGGAATATTTTCCAGCCTTTCCATAAACTTCCCAGGTGATATGCCTTTTGTTTTGCCTGTCTCTTTTAAAAAAAAGTTGTGATACACTACTGAGTGATCAGCTACGGAAAACTGCAGCTGTTTCAGATGCACTCTGTGGTTTAGGAGAACAAGGAGAACAAATGCAATCCTAATGCTGAAAGGCAAAAATCCTTTTTGACCTCACACCTTTCAAGGCTGCCTCTCAAGATGTCCTGGAAAGCCCTCTCTGATGGGTGGAAAACATATGGTGTGTTTCTCTGTCCCTAAACCTTGTCAATGTTGCCTTGTGTCAGCAGGGTGGCAGCATCCCTGCACCCACACCTTGGAAGTGCTCAGAAAAACAATATTCTGGAGCTATCTACAGGAATTAGGGGCCCCTTTCATGAGCTTAGGCATTTGGCTGGTCTGGGAAAATCCCACTCTGAAATACAAACCAAGCTCCTGTGGAAGAAAAGCTGCCGCTGCCCTTGGGTCAGGCCTGGCTCTACCCCCCAGGACGCATTAGCACAGCACACACTGGCCACGTTCAGCTCTGCGGTCCCTAAGCAACTCTGTTTCCCCATGGGGCTGTTTGTGCCGAGGCTCAGCACGAGTGACGGAGCTCCCTTGCTTGTCCCGCAGCCCCATTTTCCTCACAGGCAAAGCGAGGGGCAGCAGTGACTCACACCGCACGGCTGCCGCGTGAGGTGGGCGCTGCTGGGGAACGTGCTGGGGAACGCCAGGTGCCCGTGCTGCCGCCGTGGCGGGGCTGCTTGCTCACATGCTGCCCGGGCAGCGTGCGCAATGGCCCCGCACGCTGCTGGGACTGCCTCGCCCCAGGTGGGAATCAGAGAGCCACACCACGTTCCTGCCTGGAAGGTATGGATGCGCCAGAAGGAGGCAGGTATGGAGCAGAAGGCGGGCTCTGCCCCATCTTGGGCTGTGGTCATATCTAGAGAAACTCCTCTTCAGAGGCATCATGTCCTGAAGGGACAAGTCAAGGCCCCTCTCGTGCACTAAATCAGTGCAAAGGGGTCAGAGCACATTTGCACAACCCTTTTCTAATCTCCCTCCCCTTGCCAGGTCACTTGTGTGTGCCGCATGAGTGACTCATGTCATTTATTGGTCAGCTGACTGCAATATAGAAATACATTCTACTGAGATGCCCAAGAAGACAAATACATAACTCCCCTGCTCTGGCCAGTGTGGGTTTGTATGACCCTCAGGAATAGTTTCCTCCTGCCTACGGTTGCACATCTATCCTTACAGTTCCTGGGCTATACAAGTAAGAATCTGGCAAAACCTGCACAGTAAGCCAGAGCTATGGCAGGGAGCCCTGTCAGCATGAAGCAGCAGGGCTGGGATGCTCTGGGAGCCCTGCAGAGCTATCAGAAATGTGCCACACACTCGCCAAGAGCAAATATTGCCGTCCTCACAAATGGTTAACCTGCTGGGAACTGCAGAGCATTAATGACTTCACGTGCATTTAATCAGCTTGGGCTTCCAGAGCCTCCTGCCTCAGGAGCAGGAAAGGCCGTGTACCCCGGGTGCAATGCTCCCGAAGCCGCGCCACCCCCCTTAGCAATCATTAATCACTGCCGGGCCGCAACGGAGCGAGCGGCAAACGAGCAGGCAAAGGCCAACTCTGCAGAGCCCGGGTGCAGCAGGAGGCAGTGCTGACCGTTCTCCTTGGTGGCAGCTTGCTCTCTGACCCTCTCTCCTAAGGGACCTCGGCGGAGGTGACCAGGTGTCCTGCACGCGTTGTTGCTTCCTTCAGGGAAGCAACCCCCTTCAGACGGGAGGCTCTGCCTGCAGCTGGGAGCTGCTGGGTTACATGTGGGGGGGATCTGAAGAGGGAGCTTCTGTCGGCAGCACAAGCTTTTCACCGCCTCGCCATGCAGCACAAGGCATTTTGGACTGCTCTGGAGTTTACCTGCCGACTACTGGGCATCTCCACCGCAGCAGGTAAGAGCTAGCTCTCTCTTCCTTTGCCACTAAAAGGCACTGCGTAGGCATCGGGACTCCCAAGTTGTCTCCCTGCCTTTGATCCAGTGCAGCCACTGCCCCATCCAAAAAAGGGGATAAGGACCACTGCTCACTTTGCTTTGGGACGCAGGGAGGGGAAGTGCTGGATACCTGGCCAGGCTCTTCCCAGATCATGTGAGAGGCACCATGAGGCAACAGAGTCAGCATGCAGCATGAGGGGAAACAAGCTAAAGCACAAGTGGAAAAGAAAACTAAACTACATTGTTCAAAAAGAGACATGGTCATGGGAAAGATGCAATTTGAGATGGAAATGTAAGATCCTCATGGCAACACAAAACTGTTTGTCTCCTTTGTGGCACCTGAAAATGAAGGATTTTCTTGCATTGTGCACAGTGTGAGGGTGTCTTATGCCAAACAACATCAAGGGACCTGCAGCCCTCACAGAGCAGTTGCTGCAAAAGTGCTTCTCCCCCTCTCTAAAAGGTGTCAGGAAGCAAATACAGGGAATTCAGGCAGAAGATGACTGCAGCACAGACATCATAAATTCACCCACCCGGCTAGCTGTCCCCTCCCATTCTCGGGGGCTGCTTGGGACCTGCCTTCTCTGAGTCTGGTGCTGTACCAGAGCGTATGATCTCAGGTGAAATGCTGATGTTCTGAGGTGGCTATCTCAGGCACAGCATCTCACACAGAAAGACCAAGCTGTGGAGAATAACTGTCTTACATGAAACATCTACAGACGGGATGTAGAAAAACATCTCTCACAGGCTACAGGCAGCCTGGTGAATTCACAGGCTCACTCTGGCACTGCAGCTGTCATGCAGCAGGGCAGGTGGCTCTCTGTGCCTCAGTTTACTCCATCAGGAAAGCAGAGATCACAGTATCTGATTTGTCTAAGGCTGGAGTGGTGAACCAAACTTTTCTGATGAAAGGTGTCTCAAGCTGGTGCCTGTGGTTATCAGAGTAGACCTCTGTGGATTTTAGACACTGCAGAGCAGGTCACAGCAAGTCCTCATAGCTTGGAATTTCCTTTAGCAAGGCCGTTGACCCTGACAGACAATCTGCTCAAGTCAGAGTAAAGTAAAAACCACACAGGTCAGCTGCAGAGAGCCAGTTCCCCAAGGACACCCAGAGACCAGTGAGGAAGCTGGGGGCTGCACTCCGGAATGTGCTTTAAAGGATTGATAACAGGTAGGGATTTGAGTCTCTGAGTTTGTACAAACTCCCAGTAGATAAGTGCATACCCTGATGAGAGTGCAACAGATAGGAGCTGGACTTAGCTTTTAGCCAGCAAATGCGAATCTCTTCCTTTCTGTTTCCTACCCGCCCCCTCTCTTAGGACCACATGGACCCCATCATGGTCGGATTCTCTCTTAGAGCTCCAGGAAAGCTCATAAAACCCTCCTTGGGAGAAAACATGAATATATTCTTATGGGAAAACTAATGGCAAAATTGAAAGCAGCTTTGCTTCGGTCATGTTTTAATGGGACAGCTCTCCTCCTGCTTGTACTCTTTTCTTTCTTCATCATCTGCACTTACAGTTCTTCTTGATATTAGAAGTGCAGTCATCTCTCAGATGAGCATCCCAGAACATAGACAGCTGCAATATTGATCTCTGTACTTTTCCATCTCTCCACTCTGATACATTCCCAGTGTCACCTGACTTTCCCAAAAGGCCAAGGAAGCAGTGGAAGGGGCCTGTATATTATTCCTCTGAGTGTCTCAGTGGAGTAAGAAAATAGCTTGATGCAGTGTTTAGTGCCTGATGAGGTGTGTGAGGTTTTTCCATGAAATGGAGATCATGCAGAATAGAATCCCATGGGCTTTGTTTGAAAAAAAAAATGAAAGAGAGGATAATGCATCAGCCCCAGTAATTGATTCTGAGAAGGCCTGGCCAATTCCACAAGCTGTTCACAAACTGAAATAGCTATCTGCATAACATAACATCCTCCACCCCCATGCTGGATCTTTGAATATACTGGCTGTCTGCAATGGTGGGACTGTAAAGTTTACTGCATGCAAGAAATCAGACGGTCCTGCCATTGGCAGCGCCCATGGCTAGTTAGTGATGAGTGACAGCCTTGCAATTCATTGCAGTTTTTGGGACATCTCTGTAATTCATAGATTTTAGGATTAGTGATTTCTGCATCTAGCGAGTTCTTAGTTATTTCTTAATTCTCATACTTTCAACCATTAATTCCTAATCGCATGCCTTTAACCACATGGTTTGGATAACATCCAAATTAAAGGAGCAACTAGCCCAGACAAACACCTCAGAAAGGGCACTTTGCAGATCGTTCATCCAAACAGCTTTGTGAGTAAAGCAGAAGCTGTATAAAATCAGGAAATGCCCCCCATCCAAAGGATAGACTCAAAGGATAGACAGGCTGAGCTGTTGAATTCTATATTCATTTGTAGGGAATGAATGAATTCTGCCTTTATAAGGAAGATTGTAAAGAAGGCTGTTCAGTCATGAAACAGCAGAGAACAATATATTATGTGTCGGAGCACAGCTTGGTGAGAGGGGGGGCCAGGCTCAGCGCCTGGTAGGGAGGAAGCCCTGTGTCTTTTCACAGACCTAGAATGAGACTGATTTCCCCCATGACTCTAGAGAAGCACTGCCAAGGAGGAGGCTGGACCGTGAGCCCAATCATTTCTCCAGCTGATGAGGGACCAGCGTCTACCAGGGACACAGAGCGAAGCCAACTGAGACCACAGGATCCTGATGGGGCCTAGCCGGAGGCAGGAAAACAGTTTGTCCTATCCTGGAGCCAGGCCAGAGCTATCCAAGCAGTAGGTGTAGTGATGAGCCCCAGTAATGGTGGTCAGCAGGACAGCCTAGTGCCAGGGCTTGTCTTGAGCAGACCAGAGGGAAGAGAGAGGAAGAGCATCGCCAGCAGACCAGGCTCACCTTGTCAGCATCACTTCAGCAAGGCTGTAGGTGAGGCACACGAGGCTCTCCTTCGGGACTGGCATTGCAGAGCAGTGTCAGAAGCACTGCATGCTCCCATGGTTATAATGGAGCCAGCATCATTCCTCTGTTTGTGAGGCTGATGCCTTTCTAAGTCCAGAGCAAAGCCACAACTCAGATAAACAGCCACAAATGCAACCACGATCTCAATGTGTGATGCAGAGCCAGCCATGAACATCCCATGCACACATGGACACCAGGGACAGAAAACTCCAGCTCAGCTCATTGCTTTCTTGAAAACAACCTTGTGGGGGTAGGATGTCCATTCCATTCAGTGAAGCTATAGGCCTCCAACTGCCAGTTCAAGTAAGGTTTTGCCTTACTAATACTCTTAATCCCCCCTTGGCCTCTGACTCCTCGGAGTGCTGTGCTGGTTGGGGTACCAAGGGAACATTCATTCCCTCTTCTTAATCTGCCAGCTCCCTTGTTTATGATTTTTCTGTTAGGCTAGTGAGTGATGCCATGACTACAGCCCTTCATAAATACAGCTGGCTCATTTCCCCCCCTCATGTTGTTCTACAGCAACACACTGGGTACAACAGGCCTGGGCAAGCTGGGATGCCTGGGAGGGCCACAAAAGTGAGACTGACATGACCTGAAAAGACATGAGGCAGACGTGTCGGCGTGGGCCTGAATTCCCTCCAGGCCAGGAGAGGTGCTTGGGGCAGGAACAGAGCCTGGCAGGGCAGCAGAAGGGAAGCCCCTGTGGCAGCACTGCTGGAGCTGCATGGCCAAGGGGCAGGAGGGACACCCACATACTGCTGCTCACCTCTCCCACTTTCCAAGGTCAACTGGTATCTTACGAGCACCTCCCCTCCAGCCTACACAGTGGTACAGCTGCAAGGACAGGAACGACACTGGGATGACTTTCTAGGCTGTCTGTCTAGGCCTGCATTCAGCTTTCAAAGCCCCGGATTTATATGTCAGCATGAGTCACTGGTGCTGGTAGTTCTAACGTGCTGCACTGCACAGGAGGGGCAGGCTCACCAGCCACCTTTGGAAACCGGGGCATAGATCCTAGAAGCTGATGGGGCACACGAGTCAGGAACCAAACCTGCAGTCAGCACTTTTCCTGCCTTCTCGTTCTAGTACTGATCGGTGTGGGCGTAGAAACTCTGCAGCGAGGACAGTTCAAAAGCCTGGCTTTCTACCTGCTGTGAGTATTTTTGCCCTTGGACTTAGAGCTTGCAGGGCTGTCACGTTTCACACCTGTACCATATACAGTACCAGAATAGACTGCAACAGCAGCAGGGACCAGTATCCGGGATTTTGGAGAATTTAGATATCTATCTTTGGGGAATTTATATATTCATCTATGAGGAATTTAGATATCCATCTTTAGGTTTCAGAAGAGACAGCTCTTTCCATTAGCGAAAGTGATCCTCCCTCAATGATACCTGCAAGCTCAAGCATGCCAGAGTTGACAGGGGCTGCAAACTGACTCCCACGGACAGAAGAGCTTTGAGGTCTTTTCCTCAAACCAAACAGGCAGAGGGTGTTCAAACCCCAGCAGACAGATTATGCTGTGAGAGAGAGTAGATGCTGATCCTCTGTGCCCCTTCTACCATCTGGAGAAGATGCTCAAACCTACTCCCTTGACACCTCCACCTTTCAGTTTTTCAGGGATTGCAGTTACTGTCTGCGAAGCCTTCTTCTTTATCACTTTGTTCCTGGGGATGTGCTTCACGTGAGTAGACTCTGTCCAGTCTTCTCCAGCCTTGCTGGGACCTGCCTAAAGCAACCTGCCTCCTATAAGCAACACCAGGCCTAGCTGAGCTATAAGTGCCAAAGGAAAGATACTGGCCATACTCCCATGGCATGTGCTCTCAGGCAGGGAGGAGGTAAGTGAGGCCGTGCCCTTAGCCCATTAAGCTTGTGTTTAGCCACAGCTTGTGTCACAATTTGCTGAGAATCAGCACAACAGACTCTGGTCTGAAGCATCCCTTTAACATGTGAAGTCCTGCAAGGTACCAGGATTGAGAGGAAAGCCACATCTCCAGGATGAGCTACATCAAGCCAAGACATAGAAACTTCTTAGGCACTTCTCAAAGCCTAAGCACCTCTGGTCTCTTTTAGCAAAAAGTCAAAAGCCTTGACAGCTAAAGAGACAGCACGCTACACCAGCTAACAGGTACCCTGCTTATGGCCAGGCAGGCAAACATGCCAAGGAGAGACCTCCTGAGACGTTGACCTCTGGCAGAGGCCAGAGGCCAGGCCAGGGCCTCTAACCTCTATGAGGAAGGCTCAGACATTACTTACCTTTCCTGACCAACACTCTGGTTTTCTGACACACTGGAATATAAACCTCTAGGTGGGTGGGGATGGGGTCTCAGTCTTCTTGCCAGGGGCTTGATGGACCAGTCAACAAGACCGTCTGTCTGTCTCTCCTCAGCTATGAGCCTGGCTCCCTGGCACACACCTGCTGCAAGCGAGCTAGACACCCAGGAAGCTTCCAGAAATTCATGGGATACACGTTGCTCTCCGTGGCTTGCTTCCTGCATCCTGTCCTTGTCTGGCACGTCACCATCCCTGGTGAGGAACCCATGCTGGGGTGGGGTGCAGATGCCAGAGGAGCCCAGTGTATGTTGGGGCACCAGACTGGCAGACTCAGAAATAGTGGGGATGCGTGGGGTGCCGCATTGGTTGCGGGAGGACAGGGAGCTAGCAGGACTAAATGCTGTGCCTTTAGAGCACCGCCTGGCTAGCTCTTCTCCTTGCCCCAGCCCTTGGCCAACATGCCCCTCTTCCCCAGGCTCCATGCTGCTGCTCACTGCCCTGGCCTACTTCCTCCTAAGCAAGAGGAGGAAGAGTCCAGGACATAAAGAGACTCAACTCGAATCAGGCCAATATGTGGACCCTTCAGCCACCATGGCAGCCCCAACCGGTGCTGGTGATACTGAGCAGACCTACACCTTTGACGGGGCCCAGAGGCAGCAGCACTGCTCACTGCTTGGCCACATGAAGAGCATCCTGAAGGGGAGCAGGGACAAGAACCTGGTCCAGACAGCTTCAGCCAGACCAACATCTCCAGCCATGCCAGCGCCTCTACCAGCCCCACGCAAGCAAGTGCACTTCCAGGAGAAAGTGGTGCGGATCATCCCCTCCATCAGTGACAGTTTGGATGATGTGGAGAGTGAGGCTGAAGAAACCACGCTGGACACAGCACCCATCCTCACCCCTCCGGATACCCCTGTACTCACTCCCCTCAGCTCCACAGGCCTGTTCTGAACACTCACCAGCTAGGAAGACAGGAGAGGGAAACTACACCTGCACATCAGCATCCCTCCCTGCTGTTCTGGCAGCCAAAAGGACCTTAGCCAACACCAACACTGTGTGTTGTGGGCAGAACTGCAGTGCTGGCGGGAGCACCACATCCTCCATCCGAGGATGTCCCATGGGCACAGCCACCAAGGAAGAACAGGGGGGAGCACTCATATCCTAGAACTACGCCACCCTCCTGCAAGGGGCTGCTGCCAACCAATAGTCTCAAACCTTGTGAGGCCATGGTTCAGCCAAGATATTCCCAAGACATTGAAATTTATGCTCGTGGGGAATCTCTCTTTAAAATTGGCTGAATGGGCCTCCATTATAGCACTATATGTCAAAGCAGCAACTCCTGCCTCACACCTTTGCCGTGGCATTTGCCTACCATGCGGCAGCAATTGGCAGGTCAAGGGGAGACAACATCCTCCCAGAGCAGCTTCTGATAATGGCAATTTTTGCCTGCCTCCCTCCACTGTGCTAGAAAAAGCTCAGGGCTGGGACCTCAGGCATCTCAACCTGCAAGCGGTAACAGCGAAGGCTGCAGCAGGCCTAGCACATCCAAAGCATCACTGCAGGGGAGACTGTGACAAATCACGCCACTGGATCTAGTACCTGGAAAGTGTCCTCACCTGAGCCGTGCTCTGAGCCCAGCAGGAAAATCATGCCTGGTTTGGGGCACCTATGCAGAAGCAGGGTGGATCCTGGAGCTTCCTCGGTTTCCTTGATCAGACTGTCCTCTCAAGTTAGACAAGTTTTGGGACAATGCAGCAGCTCAGGTTACTAGGTTCAGTAGAGGTTACTAGGCACAGCAGATTATTTGTAAACTCTGTGTGTGTTAATTATGGGCCTCAGAGGACAATGATAATCATAAAGTTATAACTCTGCCCCACGGGTCCTCTCCATGTCAGCTCTTCGCTTTCACCTCTGGCCTAATCCTACCATTTTTTTTGCCCTTTCAGGATCACTTCCCTACAGTCAAGCACTTCTCACCTGTTCATTTCATCCCCTTAGCTATTTCTCACCTTATAACTATGACTTTCTGCTTCTCATTCCAGCTGTTTGAGGGGCACAGTCATCAGAGAAGCCAACCCCATGGATCTCGAGATTGTCACATGGAGGCAGGCAGGTAGAGACAATCCCATTCTTGTCATGTTGCCTTCTATCCTCCAAGACAGATCTCCCTCCTGACCCAGCAAAGACCAGGGAATACTAGTGCCCTACAATACCTCAGTCTTTAATCACCCTGACTTTGTTATATATATCCAATTGCTTTATATATCCAATTTGCTGGGCCAGTTTGTTTGGAGCTCATTCTGGGAGACAGAAGTCCTGAGTAAGAGAGGTGTAGGATGGATAAAGGTCCCAAACCATGAAGCAGCCTATGAGCAGAGACAGGAAATCACTATACTGGATATAGGACTGACACTTATCACAGGAAGCACCTGGCTGGGAAGAGCATCCCTCCCACACATCCCACATGCCATGAAATTCTCACCATCTGCCTGCTGCTGTAGGAAACTAGAATTTACTGCCACAAGTTGACAAGCATCTGCAATGCCTACAGACACCACAGCAAAGACTCATCAGTGTCAGGCAGCTCTTCTGGCTGCACATGGAAAAGAGAACGGGGGCCTGGGTTGGCTCATACACAGGGTGTGAGGCCACACGTTATCCCTGCACTTCTGCTCAGATGAGGAGCTCTAAGGGTCTGAACCCAGAAAGACAATATGAGGTGAGGTAGTCATAGGAAGGGAAGATCCCTGAGACCTACTTAGGTTGATTACAAAGCAGAAGCTAGTGGGCCAGGCTGCTTTTCTTGGGAATGTTATTTCCGTTTTTAAAATTCAACTCCCTGAGTCTGACAGAGTCACTCTGGCCTTTGTAGTTTTAATGAAGATTGAAAATACCAAATTTGAGTGTTCAAAATCAGGAGGCAAATGGTAAGAATCCCATGCTACTTTTTGATGGATTCTGTTCAAGTCACTCCTGATTTGGGAAATGGGTAAGGAAGAAAGCAGAAGATGCTGGCTGAGAATACTTGACAGCTTCTCTTTGATAATGCAGCTCTGTCCAAGGGCAGCTTATGAATGGTTTCATACATTCAGTTGTTACTTTAACTCCTAGACATGAACAAAAAGCTTTTTGTTGCATCATGAACATGTAAAATGGTTACTGGGATTAAACTGTTTTAAATACGATACACAGGTTTGAGACCTCCCCCTTCTGGCTGCACAGGTTAACACTCCACCCCATAACTGCTTCCCAGGGAAGAGTCTGCCTGGGTGGTTTAGCCTCCTCCTGCACCTCCAGAAATGCCTTCAGAAAATTGTGCCCATTTAAAACCTAAGGTTGCAACACTGAGGGTAGTAAGCACAGGCTGTAGACACAGGATCAAATTGCAGCTCTTTTACCCTCAAGCTAGTCTATTTATCACACTAAAATAAATACAAATGCACTTTCTTCTAACGTTTGTGATCAAGCAACAAATCCTCACCAAGAAGAATGTCCTGGCCCAGCCATGCAAACAGGGTACCCATCCTTGCCCCTAAATTCTGTGCTCAGAGCTGGATTCCCAGCTCAATCACACATCTCAGTCACACATACTATATCTGCTCTTGATGGCAAATTCTGCTTTCTGCATCATCCAAGGCCCTTCATTAAACATCACCTCATAATTACACACACAGAGATAAGGTAATGTTCCTAATGGATTGAGAGTTCTGCTTACCAAAGAAGACCACATCTCTGAGCAAAGCTCCAGAGGAGGCTGGGTGGGGACAGTTGCCTGACACCAACCTTTAGTCAACTCTTGCTCCATCAAGCTCCAGGGTCCACACCCATGCAGCAGCGGTGCCATCGGCACACTGTCCCTGTGGCACATTGCAGAGGACGTGGATTTCAGTGCTCTCTGAAACGCATGTATTAATCATGTAATCACAAGTCTCTAGAATTAGGTATTTCAGTTTCTAGGCTCATCTTTTGAAAGCACATTGTAGGTTTCCCTTGGGAAGCAGGATTGAGAGAAGCTGGAGGTTAAGTGGTTGTTCAGGCTTACTGGAGATAGTGCTTGGCAGCATCCTGTTTCTCCATCCTGTCCCGAGTTGCTTTTCTTGTATGCTCCCTTGTGTTGTCCTGGCTCTTTTCCAACACCCCCAGCTAGCTGCTTCAGGAGATGAAGCCTGTAAAAAAGCTACTCTTTTTTTTTTTTTTTTTCCTATAATGTTAAATTGTCTGTCCAGTTAAGCTCCCTGGCTGGCTCACCACGGAGTTTGCTGGGAACTAGCATTAGCTCTAGGGAAGAGCTGGGCAGCTAGAGCTGAGCTGTCTGCGGCAGCTGAACTGGGGCAGGGAACGGTACCACGAGGATGCACTTCCACAGCACGCATGGAGCTACTGCACTGTCAGAGAGCCCATCTTTGCAGGCCTCTGCTCTGCTCCCTGCGACCCAACCCTGTCCTTCCCTGTGGGCCTCAGCGCTGCCATCCGGCTCCATCTGCTCATGGAAATGCTTAGCTCAGGTGAGGGAACGCAATTAGGAAAAAGCAGGCAGGGCCTACCTGCTGGCATAACGAGCCAGGTTAATTCATGGAGGGATTGATGAGCATGAGAGCTGGTGCAAAGGAGGGGCAGATAAGAGCAAAGGCCAGTCATGAAATGAGCGGGAGAGGGATAAGACCTCAGAGGCAGTAGGCTGCTAGCAGCTCAGCTGCTCATGCTCAGAGAAATGAAGTCTCAGGCATTCCTTAAAATGCCGGTGTAGAGAAAATGTTCAACCTCAGGGGACTTTGCAGAGGGCTCAGAAATTATCTGCTAAAGAAAGTCCGTTTCCCTGCAATGAGTGATGAGGGGCATCCCAAGGGCTGGTGAAACCACTACCATTAATACAGAACTGTAGGGGGGCTCTATGTGGTACTCTTACATATGCAGGGACATTGCAGGAAAAGAAAAAAAAGGAAGAACTAGACACTATTAATTGTGCAATGATACCTGAATTTGAGATGCCTGAACTGTAAGTCAACATGGCACCACATGAACCTTGCTATATCATTTTTTTACATGCATTACTTGTAAGTTATGATGCAACTAACCACTGAGATTAATCTGCTGAGCTACAGCTGACTGCATAAGACTATACAATTCTACACACTCCCATACTGCAAAGAAGTGAGATCAATCACTCAATAAATGTAAATGTGTAATGTGAAACTCTATGAGGTAATTCTGGCAAAAATTGTTTCCTCCAAGGTTTCCTCCAAAGGAACCTTTTTCCTGCATGAGGAAAAAAATCTGCTTGCTTTGCATAGAGAGTTGCATATTTGCACTGGAAACATTCCACAACAGTTCTTGACAGCTCCTGTCACAGCTTAGTGAATTAATAGTGTTGCAAGCAATTACTCAGGTTTTACTTTTATTTGAAGGCAAAATTGGTTTCATTGCAGGCTTCAGATATGATCTCCCTCCGCCTCCAGCGCAAACTAGAGCCCGTAGCTGCTCCTCAGCCCCTGCCCCAGGCCCCCAGCCTTGGCCAAGGCATTCACCCCTCAGCGGTGTAGCCACCCCAGGGTACTCTGCCTTCAGTTTCTCTGTGTTCTGCTCTCCTCATTTGCAAACTCAGATAAAAATATTTTACCCATGTAACAACAGCATTAGGAAAATAAGACCTATTTAAAGAGAAAATTGTTCTGTTCTTTCAGTGTTAGTATTCAAACGGAAAACACTCAGCCTCCAATTCCATGTGTAACAGTGGGAACAGCAGTCCCTGTTACCCACCGGAGCTAATAGCTATACTGGTGTCAGAAGCATGGGCAGCTCCTGACTCAGTATTAAGTCATGCAGGAGAAGGCCTGATTCCTTTCATTTCCCTGAACTAAGAATTAAATGAGGGGTGCTCTGAGCCAAAACACTGGCCCTGTTTTGGCTGGACTCCTGCATTTTGTGGTAGGAACTTGGAGGAACCAGAGACC